TCTAGGGCAGTTTCTTTGTTTTGCACAGGAAGATGATTTTAGACCAACAGAGGGTGAGGTCTCTTTTCTTTGGTATAGCTGCTAAAATCGATATGTAGGGTTACAATTCAAGTTCGATTATTTTAAAAAGAATGTTATTGTATCATTGAGAAAGTTCAATGTGGTATCAAGACGTTCGAATAAGCCAATTTAGAACACACCATCTATTTCGAGTAAAAGTTAAACTTTGGGACAACATTGGAAGTTACTATTTATATTGTATTTTTAAAGTTATCATAGTTTGTAGTATGCCACAATGGTTTTAGGTTTGCAAAAGATAGCCAGTTAAATTCTCTAAAAAAATCCCACTTCCAATGTCCTTAAAAATGTGAACACTTAAGGGACTTAGTGTTGATACCAGTTTTATTGCATAGCTCATTTATGGCTTGCCTTTGTGTAAGAAAGTCAATATTTTAGTAGCAGGTTGTCCTAGACTCAACTACTTGCATTTGAATGGAATCTTCAGACATCCTTCACTGTAAATCTTAGTTTGAGGTGTTGAAGCAGATAATGAACCATGGGTGTATGAGGTGTGAAGTTCTAAGTCAAATTTCATAGAATATTTAGGAATGTGTGACTGTGTAGATTTTGCTATGTCTTGTGATAGCGCAGATAAATGAAATGAATTATTGTAGGATTTCAAGTGTAAAATTCATAATAGCGGAACCCAGCAGAGCTCTGGTGTCAAATATCACTAACAGAGAAAAGTTTTCTGATGGGATCAAGTCACAGTAACGAGTCTTCAGTACGTTTTATTTTGTTTGTAAAGAGTCTCCAATACAGTTTATTTTCTTTGTAAAAATGTGCAGACAAGTTGTGCGAAGTGTTAGCAGGAAAAAAGAGAAGTGATAAACACAAAAAGCCGTTGGTTAAATATTTAACTTCATAAATAAATTCTTGCATAATGATAGTAACATTTTACAAGTAACACATCTAAATTCATGTAGACTATTTCATAAATTATTTGTTTTGGTGTTCAATGACTAACCAATAATTGATATATATATATATATATATATATATATATATAAAACTTGTAGCTCACTCTGAGATGTTTGTATGTATGCAAGTTGATATTAAAAACATGTAACAAAAAAATAAAGATGGCATATTTAGGCCATAACATTCTCTTCCCTTATTGAGTCTTTTCTTGAAGAACTTAAAACATATATAGAGGTGAATATATATATATATATATATATATATATGCATGATATTAGCACAATTTTTGATTATTTTTTTTTAACAATGAATATAAATATGTTTATGAGTAAATAATAAATAATAGCCACATGATTTATTAAAGTTTGTATCAATAAATTTAGGAGAATGTTAAATAGATCCAAGTTTTTACTAAATTGACCCACCCATCTTGAAACCAACATGAAAACAAATAATGATTTCTGAATTCATTTCTCCATTATTAGATCTGCAAACAATAAAAACCAACCACATTCATCATGATTACCATATTCTTCATGAAAGGTGTGTCTGTTTAGCAAAAACATGAATCTATTTAACATTCTTCTAAATTTATACAATTAATTTAAACATCAGAGTGTCCTCAAATTGTCCATATGTTGTGCAAAAAAACTTTTATTTAGTTTCTTCTTCATTCTGTATTAGATTTTTAGTTTAAATAAGATCATTTTGAAAAACAAATTGTACTAATAATTTTGAAATCCTTTGTAAAGGATGTTGGTGCTTCATGATAACTTTGACAAGCTATTTTAATAGTAATCACATGTAACACATAAGATCGTCTTCATTTCTTTGGGCAAAATAAATAACCAATTTTTAAAACGATGGATGAAAAATGCATGTCTTTTAACAGTTTATTTATTTTTTTCTATGTTTATTGAAAGTTTATTCACTTTTGGTATATTGAATCATACATTAACTCAAGACAACGTTGGGTTTCTTTTAGCAATTCCAAATCTTAATCATTAGATTGTTGTTGGGATAAAATACTAACATTTGTTCTAAAAAAACATATCAGAAAGTTGTATGTTTGAAAGGACATTCTTGAGTATTCATATTTGTTGATTAACCTACAGAACTAATCTATATTGCAACTGTAATGGATATTTTGGTTTCAAAGACAAAATTCATTGTTCCAACAAATCTTAATCGTTTCATCTTAATTGTTCCAATTCACACTATAATCACATAGAAATTACTCATCAAATTTAAGATTTGATTTGATTTTTTTTTTTTTGTTTGTTTGTTTGTTTGTTTGTTTTTTTTTTTAATATATGAGAAATATAAAATTTTAAAATTTCAAATCATTTTGGTTAATACTTTTTAACTTCAAATTTCATATATGAAGTTGTAAAATACAGGAAAAAACAAATTACAGAACACAGAAGAAGGAATTAGTAGTTCCTTGATGCATTAAAATAATTATATTTAACCTACATGAAATTCCTTGAATTTTACCATGTGCATATATTTGTGCATTTTTTTTTTTTTTTTTTTTTTTTTTTTTTAAATCAAATCAAATGGCAAAGCTTAAAGAGGTTGGTATTTGTAATTTTGCTCAAACAAATGACTCTCTTGTGGTCCATCCTTTCCGAATTTTAATGCATATACTTCAAAAATAATAAACTTAATAAAAATGACCTCTAAAACACATATTTTTATCTCTAGAAAAAAAAATTATTAGTGAATTATTGAATCAAATTATTATAAATGCATTAATACATATGTATATATAGATATACATATATATATATATATATATCAAAAAAAGTGCTATATTTTATTAAAAAAAAGGATTTGGCTTAAAATTAAAACAAATGTCACACACATTAATATTGCAAATATTTAAAACTTGTACTGTTACAAATCAAATTGCCAATTTCTTAATCGCCAAACAAGAAGCTGTTGTAAATATAAATTTTATCAACCCAATATGTGTTATGCAATCTAATTGCTGTAAGAATAAGGTTTTTATTTCAAGACTAAATATATTTACAATAGTAATTCAAATTTCTAGAGATAAATGCCTGTTTTTGTGCCACTGTAATATAAATATTTTAATGAACATTGTATTATGAAATGTTAATTAGTTTGACACTAAAATTTCATTCTCTTCCAAATACATCATCACATTCTCAACTCTGTTTGTTGATTCACATGCAGGATTGGACTATAAATATATGTAAACTCAAATTGGAATTTAACAACACAAAACTTTGAATCACAATTACATATAAATTTGTTTGGCTCATATTTGAATGACAAAAAGTCCCTAGAGAAATTCATTGTAATCCACTTTCCAGCCTGCCCATCACAGTTGCATGTACACTTATCATTGTTGAGCACACAATTGTCACTACAGCTACAGAGATGAACCAAGCAAACATTCACATGCCACTTAAAGTAAGGCAACCTACATCAGCTGATAATCCATCTAATGACTTAAGGTCTAACTTCCAGTGCTTCCAACACCAACATGTACACAAAATGGCATTGTGCGAGTGTTCCATAAGCAGAAGAATGGCACATGTGGATCTGAAACCATGGCCTCCATGTGGTGCCTTGAACTCCATCTGAACTTAGTTCATGTGGTGGTGAAGCCCAATAAATCAAAGGCTGTGGGTTGGGGTGGCTTCCTGCTGCTCTAACAATCCTGTGGACAGAGAGCAAGCTTCCACAAGAGAGCACATCTTGAGAAAGTAAAAAACTGAATGAGGCACAAGCCCATTGAAATGGCCCCACTCGAACCCCCCATTAATGAAAACCCTTGATTTCATCTGCAAGTCTTTGCAACATCACAGGCAGCAGTCCACTTTGATGTGCATGAAATTCAGCTCCTGTGACTAAGTTATGCTGGTGGAATGGAAAAGTCACCCCACCTCCACCTCATCCTGCAGTTCCCAAGGTGGATGAGGGCAGTCCTGGACACAGTGGCTTGTTTCCCTTTTAAGCTTCCTAGCCTCACAGGTTCCCTCCATCTGAGCTTTGAACTCATCTTGAGATGCAAGCCCACTGCATCTTCATCAGCTTTGGAATGCTTTTGAATGAAACACCACTGCTATTTTCTGGGCAGGGCTGCATGATTTCTATAAACAGTGCATTGCATTCAACCTTTGATTACAATTGCCCCTGCCTTGGCACCCATTGCACCCTCTTGCCAGTAAAATGGCTCTGAGAGTGATTGCTGGGGGCTGTGTTGAAGGACAAGTTTGCTGTGGGCCAATCTAGTTCATTTTCCCTAAGAACAAATGAATTGCAAGTACAGCAGCAGTTTGGGCATGAACCCATTCTTGACATCTTTGTGAGTTGTGCTGCCCATTAGCTCAGCTTTCCATGCACCTCCTACCTAGCAGAAGCTACAAAAGCCTAGTGGGGGGGGGGGTGTGTGTGTGTGTGTATGGGGGTGCAGTCCCCAAGGTTTGAAGGCATGATCAAAATCAGCCAGGCTTGGCAACAAGCAAGTAAGCCAACTGTTTCAAAGTGGTGGAAGGGGAAAGAAAGAGGCTCAGGTGGTGTGAAAAGGGGGAGTTCTTCAAAGCTTGATCCAGGGTCTCTTTCTTTCAGTGTGTCAAATGGGCACTTGCATGATGTCACCTCCATTGGGCAAAGATGGGCAAAGATGGTCAAAGAAGGACAACTCATGCAATAGTTGTTGGTGTTTACATAATGCCACCACCCAATCAACCACCATAGCCTGCCCTATGCTGTGTGACAAACAATCCAGGCCCACCACCCCCACCCAAACCCCCCATTGCCGGTGCCCTTTAGACAAGTTCAAGCTCCATGGTGCCGAATTAGAGACACCCCTCCAATCCACTTCTGCTATTTATATCTGCTCCCCCACACGCGCTCTGCCACGTGGACGGAGTCCAGCGCCGTCCGCCACCCATCGCCGTCCCCGCCCTCCCCGCTCTCTGATCGGCTCTGCGTTTTGCCCGCCTCAACCTGCATTGTCCCTCCCTCCCGCCTCCCGTCTTCCCCCGCGACGGACTCTGTCTCTTGTCTCGTCGACCCCTTCTCTCCTGATTGGCATCGTGTTCCTGGCTTCCGGGCTTCCCACAAGCACTCACTCGCATCCGTGTATGTGGTGGCCCTTGCAGTTGCTTCTCTGGATTCGAAGTTTCATCGTTGGGTCCGCATGCTGGGAGCCTGGCAGTCACTTCGATTACTGGAGGAAGTATGTATTTGTTTCGCCATTCCATCTGATAATTGGCATGTGTTCTTGAAGAGTGATTGGTGCAGCCTCTCCGTCCCATTTGGAGTGGTCATTGTGGGTCTGGTTTTCCGAGGAGCTGGGGGTCGCTACCAGTGCCGGAACAATTGGGTGCCGCGGGTTCCTCCCTGATGGTTGACATGTATGCTTGAAATGGGATTGATGCGAGGCGCAGGAGACTTGGTGCACTTTTTGTAATTTTGTTCCTACTTGTTGAGTCGAGATTTCGGAGCGGCGATTGGAGGTCTGGTGCACAACATCCGCCATTGCCTGTTTCACAGAGGTGCTTGTCGCACGCCAGTCGATAATCTCAATGCTCAATCGCTCACGGCCACTGTAGTCGGAATTCTCCTTCTGCATTGCTGCCTTGTTATCATTGTTATCATTGCCCGGCACGGAGGGAGGGGGAGGGAGTAATAGGAGGTGGTGCAGGTCGGATTGGGTGTCGGATCTCGTGGTAGACCAAGCCATTGTACGACATTGTCTCATTTGCTCGACTGCTACGCGACTGGCCGGAGCGGAGACTTAGTCGCACTAGCTGGGGCCCCACTCACAGCAATCTCCGCAGGTCAGCCAATTAGAAGTTCCTTTGCATCTGCGGTCCTCCAGCGAGCAGCAGCGTAGCTTGGCAGTGTGGGAACTAGGAACAACCAAGCAGAGCCAGGTAGAGCGAGTTCTAGAGTCTCTTACTTGGCAGATGCGGGTAGCCTGTGGCTGAGGAGCAATTTCGGGTTGGTTTTGTTGGAGAGCTTCAGCCTCAAGAAGAAAGTCGCACTGTACTGTGCAGCAGTGGCCTTGGAATAGCGTCCTCTGTTGTCGTTGTAGTTCTCTATAGGCTGCACGGCGAAGCGATCTCTCAGATGGTGGCTGGAAGCTTTTAGAGGTGAACTTATATTTTGAGTGGAAGCGTGAAAGGATTAAGCGTAATTGCAATTTGAGGTTGTTGACGGTAGTGTGCGTAGTGCTTAGGCGGGAACTAAGCTTCCTAGGGCGAGGAAGGATTTTGTTGGGGGACTGCGCTGTTGATTGAGTGGAAGATCACTGGAAAGACAGGAAACTGTGCACCGGATTTGTGTGCCCGTTTTTGAGAGACTACCAATTGCGGCATTGCAAGCACTGACAACGAGCGTGGAGAATAGACGCGAGCGATTTCGGGTGAAAGAGGCAGCTTAGGATGACGCACGGACGATGCGGTATACGAGGAAAGGCAGTTTGGAATCACGGCTGCACGTAGAAGTGGAGATGCCGTTGCTGGAGAGAGGCGTCGTGTTTCGTCGGCGGTGATGCCCATTCAGATCACGGAGGGAAGCATGGTTACGGGAGGACAGTGTTAAAATTTCTAGTTGTAGGGCGAGGTGGAAAACGGGTAGGCTAGCTCCCGCAGCAGTCCAAGCCTAGAGCGTTGGGAGCATCACGGCGGAGTTTCACAAGGTGGCTAAAATGAGGGGCGTCACAGCGGAAGTGAGCTATGACCGCACTGACGAGGGAAAGGAAGGGCTCGCGGCAGCCAGGGAGATGGTGGGCAAGGAATCGTCGGACTTGTGGGGAAGGGTGAAGAGGATGTCAGTGCGGGATTTGGCGAGCAAGTTCGAGTCAGGCCAAGCCGCTGCGCAAGCAGCTGCTGCCAGGCTTGCTGAAGAGGTAATTACAGCAATCGTTGTTTATGCCCCCTTTCCTGGTCGAAGTTGTCGAAGGTCACTTGCATTGTGTGCCGAGGCCAAGGTTCGATGTCTGATGTCTCTTAAAGTTTCGGGAGACACGCTGCGTGAATGTAAGAGATTCGTATTTATGAGCCACTCGGCACTGGTAATGGGCCACGAGGTCTTGGCCGATTGTAGCGACGACATTCGAGGGACTTTCTTCTTTCCAAGGTGCAACCAGTGGATAGTATGCGAAGCTGCAAAGGTTTTGTCCTGAAACGAAGTGGGAATGGATGGCTTGGCGTTTGATTGGAGGAAAATCGGAGCTGAAAGCTTCGAATGGGTAAACGAAATACTGCGGCTGTAGGGACTCGTATTATCACAGCCTCAAAACGAGGCATACGGAGTGGTGGAAGTTCATATTCCAAGGAGACAAGGCTGTGCGCCTTCCTACAGTGACTGTTCCAACGCGCATCGAAGTACTGAGTTCGGATTTACAAGAGGGCGGATATTTGCAGATGCGTATGCTTAGGACATTTTGAGCGCGTTTGGGTCTTCTTGGAATAGCTCGGTCGAACACCGAATGGGCTGTACTAGCGGACTCTGAAACTTACTGAATCCGACTTTACTCATGTTTTTGAACAGAATTGCGCACACAACGTTGTGACGAGATGTGGACTTCACTGACTGTGCGAGCTCTTTTCTGCGTCGTATCCCGTGGCGAATGTCTGACTCTGGATGTGGTTATGTGCAGCAAAAAGCCAAAGAAGTGGCTCTCTTGGACAAACCAGCGCTTCTGAAAAAGTTACGTGGGCTGCTCGGAGACCTTTTGGGCCGTGTTGCGGGGCGGAACAAAGATGATGTCACGGAAGCTCTCATCACAGTATGTTGCTTGCTTATTTATCTATTTATTTATTAATTGCTGTGCCCTTCGCATCACAGGAGGAGGGTGCTCGATGAAGAAATGCGTGTAATCATAGCCGTTCCTAATCATGCCATGACCTGGATTTGCGGTATGCTGGCAGTAGCGTTGAGTCGTGGCACTGTGGATGGCACATGTCAAAAGTCACGTGGTTGTGTCGCACTGATCGTTACTATACTACGTGACACTGACAGCGTCATGAGAACAAGAAGGTGTTATTTCGTTTGTTTTAGGTTGTGTTAACGAGCTTCTTTCATGTTGGGGTGATTTTAGGCGAGGTAGATATAGGCGAGGGAAGTCAAGGTGTTCCCTTGTGTACAAAAACGTTGAATGGCTTTTGAGTTGATGGTTTTGTGGCAGGTGGATGCAGTGGAAGCTCAATGGACACAACGGGAGACCGAGGCCATGCAGGAAAGAGGAGAGTCGAGGAAGCTCGCTGCTCTTTTCCAGAAGGTTGCGGCAACTTTTCGTAATTCAGTAGCTTCTATAAGTGATTTTCCATAGTATACAGCACTTGTTATCCCGCTTCACTGCTTCATCAGCATGTGAGGATCCTTCACGAATCTGTGATAGTGGACAATCGTATGGGCCGTATGTCGGTGATCGCAGTAGTACTAGAAGCGTGTTCATGGTCACATTGATGAGCGACTCGATTTCCATTACCAGTTGCTTCAATTCTCGGAAATGTGCATGCTAACGATGGCATGGACCGTATTCCAGGCCTCGGAGGATGCAAAGAGTATCATAGAGAAGGAACGGCAAGAAGCCCAGGCGGAGATCGAGGCTGCACGTGCCACTGCACTTCGCTGTCAACAAGCGTTGGAAGAGCAGACTCACGCTTTAAGTCACGCCGAGCAAGAGGTACACAGCAAGGGATTTAGTTCACCCTGTTTTGGTACTTGAAGTTCCGTGGGGCATGAGAAAAAGCGTGGGGTGCAATCTGTGGGGATCGTGCAATTGATGAGAGAAGCGTTTGCATTCATTATGTCCACGGGTAGAGTTCGAGAAACTTGCTGAGTGAACATGCTGCGCGGAAGGCGCAGGGCTGCAAAGTGTCGGACCTCAAACATTAGAAAATTAGAAGTGCTCGTCTCGCCTGCTCAACGCACTGATGACTTTGAGGATTGCATTGCATTATCTGGGTTTACCCCTGAAGAAGCTGCACGTGTGGACAGTGCGGGAAGGCATCTTGGGCAATGGACATCCTGGGCTGGTATCTGATGCCAAGTCGTGGCTGGTGCAGGAGCTTGTGGAACTACGACAGGAGATCAAAGAAGCCCGCAGAATAACGATGCTGCACGCGCCTAGTAAGGTTATGGACATGGAGTACGAGATTGCAGGTCTACGACAGCAGCTCACTGAGAAGGCTCTTGAGGTGGTTGCTCTCCGCAAAAAGGTGGATGCTTTAGTGTCGAACTCAGAAGGTCCGTCACACTTTGAGCTGCAGGGCGAGGAGCGGCTTGGGTCTTCCCTAGTCATCGTCCCTGCTGACTCACTTTCTCCAGAGCTGGGAAAGTGCAAATTCCAGTGGCACCGTATGCATGGGATCAAGGCTGAAACCATCATAGGTACATTAGGCGGCTGATGCTGATGTGGGGTTCTTGTGTTGTGGGATGTTCTTCTACTGTTGTCACTGAAGGAAAGTTCTTTTGTATGATCATGTTCCAGCTGTGGGCGTTACAGAGTTGCGGGAGCTATTCATTGCATGGTTCACCAAGCAAAGGAATATGGTTTAGAATCGAACGCTATTGTGCTGTTCTGTGTGAGGATTGCCATATGCGTCATTGACCTTGTTTGGTTGCCGTCTTGTTTGGGTCGCTAAAGCTGCTTATGCGCACGCGTAGGTGCTACGAGGCCTCAGTATGCTCCCGAGCCTCTGGATGTTGGGAAGAAGCTGAAAGTTGACATTGACCTTCCGGATGGTAGTCGAGAGTCGCTTGCAACTTCGGGCCCTATAGATGGAGGTGAGAGATGCTCAGCACTTGAGTACCGATTCACCTTGTGTGACAGTTAGTGGTCCCCAACTTCGACCAATCTAGGGTCAGTTATGACGAAAGCGCAATGCATATGTGCAAGAGCAGAATGTAAAACCGTGCTATGGGTACTGAGATCCGATTTATGGTGTATGTAACCCTTGTTGATGCATTTGTGAATATTTCGTTGACATTCGTCGTGGGTTGTGGCAGCTGCTGGACTAGGTCAGTGTGTGGAAGCATTGGTCCGGAAAGGAGGAGCTGAGTTCAATGTACGCCACTCCGTAGACACTTAACTGAATTTGGTGGTATCGTAGTGGACGAGCTATGTTTTGGGGTCCTGTTTAATACTACTGTAAAGATACTCTAAACGTAGTTGGGGGCCTGTCTGACGAAGTTGACTTGTACATGACAGGTTAGAATCTTCCAAGAGAATGGCGAACACGTTGTCAAGGCCACATTTCAAGTGCTGGTTATCGACAAATCGCGAATGAAGCTTTTCAAAGGCCGGCACAACCGAGCAAAAGAAGAATACTCTTCGTCTATGCAGGTGTGCACCCTTCCGATGGCGTGCAATTTTGGCGGAGGGAGTGGTAGAAGCTGAGTGTGCGATTTGGTGTGACTCGGAAGAATGCTGTGAAAGGTATTTTGTACAGTTAACAAGTGTGTTGTGTGATTCCGTGGACAAGCAGTTGTGTGGTGCACGAGGCGGTGGTGATGCAGCCGCGCGGAGCTTGTATTGGGTGGCGAACAAGAGCCTTACCTTCATGCTGGTGTTGGACTCGGAGCGAGAGCGCAACGCAGCGATCATGTTGGCGAGAAGATTTGCTTATGACTGTAATGTATGTGCACTGGAATTGGGTGCCTGCACCTGAGCTGATTCTCCGAAAAGGCGTCCTTGACTTGATGCTTGCTTGGAAATGGCTGACCTGGAACGCTGTGTTCGTTGGGATGGTGGTGTCAGGGAGTGAAGGGTTCGGATCTTGGGGAGGAGCAGGTGCAGGCTAGATGTTCGCGGCATTCCTCATCAGGATCTGACGATGTTTCTATTTTGGCAGGTCATACTTGGTGGACCTGATGACTAATTCCCCAGAGGCAATCAACCACGATGGATCTGTAGAATCTGGAATGGGGTGAGTTCGACGGGTGCAACATTATTCCTGTGAAGTGCAGTGGAGATTCACAGCCAGCTGTGATGGTCAATATCTTGGCCCCCTACATTCGCCAGGCGGGTTGTGTATTGAGCCACCGCATATGTATGTCACCCCGTACGAGGGACGCACCTTCGTGACCTCTGCTATTGGGTTCGTAAACCTGCTTAGAGCACTTCGAAACCCCGACAGATCCTCATAAGAATCAGCGCTTGTATCGTAGAGACCTGTGGCTTTGCTCAAGATAGGTTGGAGTGAAGCACTAGATATCTGATTTCGCCTGTTTGAAAGAAGTTTACAAATGCCACCACACTGGGGTGGCATGACGTAGTCGTAGAAATGGAGGGCCCTGTTTGAGACGAAGAGATTTTCTGAGGTGCCGCCTGACGAAGGCGGGAACAGTACTGTATTGTAACCCTCATGGGTAATTTGTAACAGTCGAGCGAGTTGAATTTTGCGAGGTGCATAGGTTCCTGTCCATCATTTTGCTTAGGCAGTGCGGGCTGCTTGAGTGTGTGGGGCATTTGAAGCGTGGCGATGATTGACTTGGCCAATCCAAGAATGCCAACATGTTTTCCAACAAGTGGCTGCAGTGCTTTTAAGAGCAAAACAAGCTACATTACATCAGGATTTTTAGCTAAAGTGGTTCAATAAGCCAAGAAGCTACCAATGCTGCCCTATTTGAATTCCCAGCAATCATTGCTTGCTATAAGTTAATGGACATGTTAAATATAGATAAAACTGGTATATTTTTTGTTCACGTGAGGTAATATTGGAAGCCATATTATGGAAGGCACAGTGTAGCAGACACGGCTTTGTTTAGTTGAGAGGTTTTACATTCTCTTTGAACTTATCTAGGTTAATTTTGGTTTACTTGGGTGGGTGTGGATGTATAGGAGAGGAGACTCTTTAGACTTAATATTCAATAGAAGTATGATTGGATTAATTGGTGGGAAGACCTTTTTGTGGAGTGGTTATTGAACTTATAGTTATTTGAAAGTAATGAATGGTGAATTGCATAGCTTCTTAGTATTTTTAGGTACAAGTTGCTTTTACTATAGATATAATTGTAAGTTTCTAATTAGTTACTTGCATAATATAAATTAGAAGTTGATATTATCAATTTTCTTCATTAGACTATTTGGAATGTCCCAATGCTAAGGATTTTGAGCCATTGGTAGATATTGACAAGACTTATTAGCTTATTTGAAATTGGATATTATTAGTAGGCTTTGGATCTTTAGTGTATATTTAATGACATGGAAGAAAATCATTGTGGTACAATGTGTGATTGTTTCTTGGATTGAATAAGAGGCATTTTATCACAAGATTGGAAATCAAGGACTTAAACTTAACAAAAGAAGAAGTGTTATACAAATTGTAGTTTCAATGATTGGTATGTGTTTGAGTTGTTGCTACAAGTCTATGATTATAAGGCTCTTGTAACCAACAAGTTATAGACTAAGGGACATATTAAGGATTCAATCTATGTAGAGTACTATTAAACAAAGCATATTGAGCTTATTTCAATGTTTGAGTAGGATGTAGTTTTTAGAATGGTTATGCTTGATGTTAAAAAAGATGAGCAGTTTGAGAAAGGTAAAGAGATTGTATTAGCAAATTCAAAAAGAAAGATTTTAGTTATTAATATGCACAAGAAAAGTAATAGGTTTATTGTACTTTCATAATTGGCACAAGCTATTTAAGTGGCTTTTAGTACTATGGGACAACTGCCTCTTTTGGATTCCTTACATTTATTTTTTTTGTGCATCTAGATATTAAATATGGTAGTTTTTTTAGGATTAAATGAATTGGATCTAAGACTCAAAGAAGAAAAAGAAGATGCTCCTAGGACCTTGTACATATACATGGCCTACTTTGTTGCAAAATCTTATAGTATTTTTATGGAGAGCCAATTAGTAAAGATATATATATATATTTTTTTCTAAAAAATTATTATTCGATTTGCCTTTTTTAAGAATTACTCTAGCTTATGAGGACACGGCTACTTTGGTGTCTTAAATGGCTATGATTTTAAGACTAAAAAAATCTTTATTTATTTTTGGTAATTTAGCAAAGATCAAAGTTACCAAAGACTTATATTGCTAGGAATGTGGTGGGATTTTTCATACTAAGAAAGATCTATCATGTTATAAATATTCAAATGACTCTTTTCAGTAAAAAAATTCCAAGAGAAAAAGAAAATATTAAGAATGAGACAAAGGTAAAAAAAAAAAAAAAAAAAAAAAATCAAATATAGCTATTATGGAAGGAATAATGATATTGTTAATTATTGTTTTTGATTGCAACTAGAATTACAGCTTGCAAGTAATGTAGCAACTAAGTCACATTAAAAGAAGAAAATTAAGACTAAAATTATAAAGCTTGAGCAAAAATTCAAGACATTTCTATCTCTTGTCCAAATTTTAAGCTTTTAGAGAGATAGTAGAAGTAGTAGCTACTTGTGCTCAAATAATAGAAAAGTCTATAGCCTTTATTATTTGTAATAGTAGAGGAATTTTATAAGTTTGCCACAATCACCTATCACACCAAATTTGCCAAGTATGATTTTTTTTTATTGTTTGATTTGACAAATACTACTACTACAATGAAGGCCTACAATCTTTAGTCTTTGAGGTGTGGGGATTCTACTTCAAAAGACATTATACAATCTTTAGTTTAGAAGGTTTTGCAAATGCTTATCTTTTTTGGTATAATATTAAGAGCACAAGTTTTTCATTTGGTTGATACAATATTAGAGGATATGACCAATTTACCATCTCTTTAGGTTTCTTAAGAAATTGTGGAGTTATTTCCAACCAAAGACTTTGAAGAATTAGCCAAATTATAAGCTAAACTTGCTATTAAGGTCGTTTTATTTTTTTAAAGAATATACTAAAAATAAAATTTCATAATTTTTATCTTTAGATGCCTTTTTTGTAGAAAAACAACATATTTTGCAAATATTTCTATAGAAATTCTATTCATAAGCAATATAATTTATAACTTAGAATTATGCATTTTATATAAGAGCTTGTTTAAAAATATAATAAAATTAAAAACATAATTACATAAGAATTGTACATTTTATATAAGAGCTTGATTGAAAATATAATAATATAAGTAAAATTTAGAAAGAGAGTAATAAGTAATTTAATATTAATACTAAATTTTTATAAAAATGGCTTCTATTTACTTTATAAGTCCATAAACAAGGGAAAAAATTAGGTTAGCAAAAATAATTTTATAGGTATCTTTAAATAAAAATAAAGAGTAGCTTTCAATAAAAATTACCTAGAAAAATCTTAAATTGATATCTAAAGAGGATTAATATGAACAAGAGTTGAAACCAAATAGGAGGACATAAAATCCTACACTCATTGCAAATTTGAGGTCTTTTTTTTTTTTTTTTTTTTTTTTTTTTTTAAATTAAAGAAGAAGGTTTAAAAGAAATCTCAATAGGATTTTTTTGAGCATTGGTTTTGATAAATTTGAATGCAAAAAGATTTTATAAGAGCTTTTCAAAGTTATAATTATTTTGAATGATTTTTTTATTTTAAAGAAAAAAAATTGTATTAAATTTGTGCTGTATAATTTTGAGCTTAATTGGATGGTTTTATCAAAGTTTATTGAATCTCAAATGAGCTGAGATTTCAAAAATTGGATTTTGAAGGTCACTAAAGGTTTCTATGATTTTGAGCAATTTTCTAAATATATTGAAGTGGTTATTTTTAAAGTTGATAGTTGAATTTATTTTTAATATTTATAAAAAAGTTTAGAGCAAGTAATTGATGCAAAAAGAAGATATTGATGCTAGAAGATTGATATCAAAGCTGAAGAAAAAAGATAGTTGAGATTCAAACAGATTATGAGCATTTTTTCTTAATTTGTGAATTTAATTTTCTTTAAATATTTTATACTTGTTTTCAATTAGTAGATTGAGAACTTGGAAAATTTTAAATCAAGATTGGTGGTTATATTAATTTTTTTTAAGGATTTAAATTTATTGTAGACTTTATTAAAAATATAATTAAAATTTGATTATAAAATTTTAAAGTTTTCATAGAATTTTATTAGAAATTTTTAGGATTTATTCAATATTTACTTAGATTTTGATTAGAATTCAATTAGAATTTATTTGGGATTTTTTAAGATTGATTAAGGTTTGATTAGGAATTCTTTAGAATTTATTTGTATTTTATTATGATTTCTTTAGAATTTATTTAAGATTCTTTTAAGGTTTCTTTATGATTTTTATAAAATTAATTATTATTTTTTAAGGATTATTAAGGATTATCAAGGATTATTTAAGATTTATTTGGAGTTAATTAAAGTATGATAAGATTTTTTTTAATTTAATAAAAGATATTTAATATAATTGGAAGCTTATTTTAATTATTTAAGATAGCTAAAAAGGTGTTTCTAAACACCTTAAAATTTATTTTTGGATTGTAAATCCAACTTCAAGATAAGATCAAATCCTTCTACAACTAGATTTCTCAATGCATTTTTTGGCTGATTTTTACATAATACAACATTGTATTAACAAGTTACACTAAAGAACCTTTGCATTAGATTTTTTATGTGGACATAGGACCTATTTATTCTTATTTATCTTTAGAATGTATTGTCACAAATACTACTAATTATGACATATTAGTTGATTAATAAGTACTTTATCTATTTGATTTTGATTTTAGTTGAAAAATTAAACCAAGTTAGCATAGATTACATTGAATTGGTCTATTAGTAATAAGCAAAAGTAATTTATATATGTAGCATTTGCTATAGCTGCCATGACTATGTCAACATAGATTATATTTGGTTACAATGCTTTAGTAGCAGATTTGTTTTTTGCACCAATTCTATTAAAGAAGATATTTTTTTATTAGCAATTTAATACATTAATATTCTATGCCACCTTTAGAGGTTCATACACAATACTACAAGAACTCATTTTTGCCTTTACATATTTGTATAGAGTTATCTTGGTAGTACTAAGAGACAATAGCTTTGTTGGAGCATGTAGAAATTCCTTCTAATTGAAATCTACTTATCTTTTCCAACTTATTTGTTAGTATCTACTAGCAAAAGATAATATTCTTTTGAAGTTATTTGCAAGCATCAACAAAAAAATTGATAACAATTTTAGAGGCTAGACTCAAGGTTAAGTAATACATTTATATAGACATTAGATTTATATTAAATTAAGCAACTAAATAGTAGCTAGAAAGGTTATTTGTACTTTATTTGAAATAAGGACATCTATTTTCTATCCACGGTTATTTTAGCCAAATTTTTAAAGATTTTATTCTCATTAGTAATACAAATTTGAAAAGTTTACCTCACATTCATTTACTTATTACTTGGTGGCTTTGCCAAAGTCTTTCATATGCCAAAGCAAGTCAAGGCTTTAATGATTTTTAATCTAGCCTTTCCTTGGACTTAATGTCGCTTTTATATTAGTGGTTTATACACTAATTTACTTTTTTATAGTACATTATTTAAAATGTACCAATATAAGATCATATACAATAAAAATTTAAAAACAATGGCTGTAATATTTCTCAATTTCTTAGTTGTTCAATTATTTTAGAAAGTATGACATTAGATTCTTATAAATATGATCTTATTAATTTTGG